TATATATATAAAAAAATCATACAAATAAAACAGGGATGCACAAATCCCAGGAGCTCTGCATGCTCCTTAAAAATGACAGCTGCCGCCTAACTTTTGAATGTTTCTCTAGCCTAGTCTTGGAGCTAGAAAAGTATCAGTACTTTTCTTGTACGTGTAACAAGTACGGTACTTGGTATCTGAACATCCCTATACAAAACTGTATTTAATTCCAGTCATTCGCACAAAACAGCACTGGCTGATTGAAATGTTCATAGATGAAGTAGATACTCAAGAAATATTCTTCAGATAGCAAACTGAGTGATGTTCATTACAGCAAGCAGCAACAGTCTGTGCAAATAGATATATACCGCATTTCCCCGAAAATAAGACAGTCTTATTTTTTTTTTTCATGAAAAAAAGACACTAGGTCTTATTTTCGGGGGATGTCTTACCTGGCTGCAGCTGTCGAGCTCTCCGCTCCGATGCAAACAGGTGTGTGGGCGGCCGCTCTTAACATGTAAAAATCAATTACATGTGCAGCTACCCCGGAAGATCTAGCGCTATCTTCAGGGATTTCTGTAATAGAAGACCTACCCCCCAACTAGGTCCTATTTTCGGGGTAGGTCTTATATTACAGAAATCCCTGAAGATAGCGCTAGGTCTTACTTTCGGGGTAGGTCTTACTTTCAGGGAAACACGGTACTATTGCCACTGTTGTAACATTGTGACCAAAAATCTAGTATTAAACAGGGCAATTACAAGGTTTATAAGCCAAGGTAGCTCTTAATATTTGTAGTATAAATAATCTAGAATTCAACAAATCTGAAGTTTTCAAGTAAATAAATACATCAGGAAAAACCTGATGTGTAAAAAAGATATATTACCTCAAAATGACAACTTACTTTTGTGCCAGTGGTACAAGGATCTGTTTCATTTCCCCAAGGATAGATTCTTGCTTCTGAGGTTGCACCTCCAATACTTTATCTAAAGAAGGATGAACTGCAGACTGCAAAACAAGCCACATAAGGACATCAGCATTATGGAGAACACACTGCATCAGCTAGGTTTTACCACACTAGCCTAGGATATTACACACGTCTAATGCTTCAAGGCCAAATGTTGGCTACAGTAGAAATTCACTAAACTGCCGTTTATTATTTATTACAGGCATTTATATAGTGCCGCCAGTTTTACACAGAGCTTTACATAGTGCTTTACATAGTACCTGCCCTCAAGGAGCTAACAATCTAAGGTCCCTAACTCACATACATACAGGGCCAATTTAGACAGCAGCCAATTAACCTTCCAGCATGTCTTTGGTCTGTGGGAGGGAACCGAAGCACCCGGTGGAAACCCACGCAAGCACAGAGAGAACATGCAAACACCTTGCAGATAGTGTACCAGGGACCCCAAGTGCTGCAAGGCAGAAGTGCTAACCATTAAGCCACTGTGCTGCCATTTGTCCACAAAGGTTCCCTTTAGATGAAAGTCTCAATCTAGTGATGATCTGATGTTTCTGTTTCTGTGGCAGCCTACAAATGGCCACACAAAGGGGACAAAGCAATCAGGTTAAAAAAAATCTTGCCCAATTACTACTGTTACTCATTTATGACTAGCCAGCACCAAAACCGTCTGTGCATGGTTCCTCTTCCCTGCTCTACTCTAAACACAAACATTCACACAACCAAAGAATCCCTTTTAACCCCTTCGTGACTGACGACGTACAGTGTACGTCGCCAGCATCGGGGCTGTTTAAACAGACTCCCGGCGACTTTTGCCGCCGGGACTCTGTTTAAACTTGTAGAGCCGACTGTCGGCTTTACAACAGAAGCGATCCTGGCGACTTACATGTTCCCAATCACATAACATAATTATAAAAAAAAGTTTTTAAACTTGTACCTTGCCTATTTTAATGCTCTTTGCTGAAAACTCCAGGACTGAAAAATCCTACTTTGTTCTCTATTGCTATGTAATTATGAGGGGGCTGGGCAGCTGTCTTTGCCTTAATAAACCCTGTCTGTGCTGTGGTGGCAGACCTAATGGAGGCTTTTCAAATTAGACTGCAAAAATGAAGATACATTTTGAGGCGATTAGGCCCGATTCACACCTATGTTTGTGGTACAAATGCATGTGAACCTACATGTAAAGTTGAATGACTTATATTCATCCCATTGCAATCAATGGAACAGCAAAAGAAAATGTACAGATAAGAACAGTTTTACCAATTAGAATGGCACAGATCTCATAATGCATGTTGGGTGCAGTTTCATATAAATGTAACTGTTTAATAAATGCACAAGGGTGAATAAGGCCTTAAAGTGACATTAAACCCTCAGATTTTTTAACATAAAACAATACTGTAATGTGTGCCTTACTGTAATCCATGGTAGTTTCCCTTCTCTTTGCTGCTCTTCCTTTTAAATTTGTATCTGTTCTCATGCTGGGCAGAACTTCTGTTTTGCAGCAGACTGCCTTGCCTCTGGAATGATACACGGTGTCTGTGTATACGTTTCTATAGGCTTGAAACCTGAGCCAGCACTACAGGAAGAGGCCCTGAGCTGAAAAGGGAAGTTCTCCCCAAGCATGAGAAGAGATACAGATTTAAAAAGGAAGAGCAGCAAAGAGAAGGGAAACTACCATGGATTACAGTAAGGCACACATTACAGTATTGGTTTATGTTAAAAAATCTGAGGGTTTAATGTCACTTTAAGATGCATGTAAAGCCAACAATTTATTTTTACGTTTGGGATAAAGCAGTGAAGGATGATAACACTGGTCAGGATTTTACTGGTGCCTATGTCCCCTTTGGGGTGATTCACCTTCTCCGTTTGTCCTGGTGACCATGGTCACTGAGAATTAAAGTAATGTGAAATCACAGGAGGTGAGGGGAAATCCTCCAATAGGGACACCTGTTTTCGTTACAATTATCTACAAGGGAAATTCCCTTTACTTTCTAGAAATTTCCTCTCGCTGTTGCATCCCTGACAGGACATTAAAGAAAATCACTTCCATTGGATACAGAAAGCAAAAAATATATTGTCAGGGAGTTTTAACTTCTTACGCTATCCAAAGTCAAAAAACAAACTTTACGATGTACTACATTGATGAAATGCATTATTAACGCTTTCACTGATGCAGACATAATAGTTATGCAATAGTTGTGTCAGCGGCACAGAAAGGGTTAATTATAAAATTCAGTGATGTAGTAAAGTGCATGTATGCAGCATCGATATTTAAAACAGACTCCCAGCCGTTATAGCACACATGAACAAACCTCATATGCCTCACATAAATAGCAATCCCTAAGAACTTACTGCTACCACATTTAAAAAAATAAATCATATAACAGAAGCATAATAAAAATGTAAAGTCACCCTGTGGTCACATCACTAGGGGAAACTAGTGACATAGCAGCTGGCAGGAGAAACCACAGCACCCAGCAAGGGTACACAATATTTGGACACACCGGAGAATGTCAAATAGCAACAGTGATCTCTACAAGAAACTGAAGATTTAACTCACCACATGCCGGAAAGGTAAAATATAGCTTCGTATTTTAAAGGCTGACTTTGTTCATATATTTTACCTTGCAAAAGGATCAATTTAACCCCTTCACGACTACAGTTTACGTCGCTAGCATCGGGGCTGTTTAAACAGAAAGCCACTGGGACTCTGTTTAAACTTGTAAAGCCGACTGTCGGCTTTACAATAGAAACGATTCTGCAACTCAGCTGTTGGCAGATCGCTTCTACAGATTGCATCACTTCCGGTCCCATAGCTGTCAGTGCTGGACTCCTGAAGCCCAGCTATAAGCTATTGAAGTGCCATCTGCACTTCAATAGCTTATTTACAGTGTACAGGTGACACTGGGGGACCCCCAGCATCACCTTAAAAAGAGTACTCGTCACCACCATCTGCTATGTAAGACCCCCCCATGTGATAGCAATTAAAGTAAAAAAATTACCAGCTTTTAAAATTAACATGACATAAAATAATAGAAAAAACTTTTTTAAAATCCCCCACCCCCACAGGTCGCCACGTAAACACGTATCGGGTGCGCCTACGTATGAAAACGACAAACGCGCTACACCTACGTATGAAAACGACGAACGCGCTACACATGTTGGGTATCGTCACGCACGCCGGAGTGAGAGCAATAACTCTAGGGCCAGTATTTTTGGGTATCACTAAATTGATGAACTGTGGGAGCTTTTAAAGCGTTGTCTATGGACTTTTTGGGGTACTGAAGTTTGTCGCCGTTTCACGGACTCACTAAATTTTTAACCTGGGCATGTTGGATATCCATTTACTTGTTGTAACCTTATCTGTTATATTTTATTTCAAAAATTGGTATTTTATTGTGTTTTGGGGAATTTAAGTACATTTTTCACTAAATTTTGGGGTTGGATTAGGAGTTGCGCTAATATCGTGCAACATAGAAATTGGCAACTGCCAACATTTTATTCTATAGGGTCTTGGCTTTCAGAAAATATATAATGTTTGGGGGATTTAAGTAATTTCCAGGCCTAAAATGTGGATTATAACATGGGTGCAATAAATGAAAAAAAGGCCTGTCATGAAGGGGTTAAGGAAACTGTAGTGAATATACAAATTTTCAGTGTCAAACTCTGTTCATCCAGACAGTCTTTCTTAATCTTGTTGATTTTAATAAATCTTCCATACTCACTAAATTTGGCTTACTCACACAAAGACTTAAACACTTCCAGGTGAACCCCTATATCCGCACCCTCATTTGTGAATTACCTTGTAGAAACGGAATGTATTTCCATAGAGCTCTTCACATAGCATGTTCCTCTGCTCTAAAATGGCTTTGTGATTGTATGCATATTCAATAATGTATGAAGCCTCTGAATGCCTCAACAATTTCTTCACCTGTCCTTTAAAGCTTTTAATTATTTCAGCCACTTGGGATTTTGACCTGAAATATAAAGAATTTATATGTCAAAACAAATACACAATAAAGTTTAAGAACATTTTCTCTTAGATGATATTTTTTCTGCAGTACTGCAATGTTGCTATACGTTATGTTTTATGATCCTTGGGTAGCAGACATGGCATGATTGAGGAATCACGGTGAAAATATAAAAGTCCACCAACATTGTAAAAAAAAAAAAAACATTAGCCATGCAGGGTAGGCGATTTACTGTTAATAAATAAATGCAGGTACCATTATATTAGAATACTAAACCAAAGCTGGAATCTTCATGTAGTGTAAGGCATTTTAATGGAATTTCGATATTATAATATCCACTCATATTATGGCATGCTTGGAGCGGTGGCTACTTTACAACACACACAGGGACCATGGGGAACGAAAGTAGCCACCCTCCAGAAGGAAGGACAGTGTCAGCACCAATTCAGGGATGATTTAAAAGAGTAATTCAGTCTCCCCATAGTTCTCCTTTAAGGATTTACAGCCGAGTGATACACAAATAAGATACATTTTTGTTAATAGTTAGAAGGTACTTGAATGCATTTTTAAGACGCTAGAGTTTAGTGTCACTTTAACTGCTTGCTGCATTGTTAGCTTGGCTGCCCAACTTTGCATCAGTTAAAATAGTCCAATACATGGACATAAAAAGATTCAAATGTGTGTTTTTTTTAAAAGGCTACAAAAAGTCAAAGCAGGTCTACTACAAGTGAATTACATGGGGACATTAGTCTTGACATCTGGCAATTTGAAGAAAACAAGGCATTCTAATTAAAACCTGACAGTACTGCAAGAGGTCTTAGGAAATCCAGCTAACTAAAAATTTACCTTTCGTAAATAATTTATTAGGCATTCATAATTAAATAGAACAGCCAAGAAACCTGTACTAATTAATATGTGTACAAGCAATTTAATATATTTAAGATCCCGGTAACCGCTAATATCAGTACCGGGACCTCTTCCTCCTGTCCTGGGCCCTGCATGCTTCACGCAGCTCCAGCTCCCTGGGTGTTAGAGGCCCATACGAAGAGGGAGTTATAGGGAGCTGAGATTATGAAGGGGACATGTGAGAGGAGAGTGTGGGGTCAGGGAGATAAAAGCTGGGGACGAGAAGGGGGGAAGCTGGGGACATGGAAGAGGAGGGGGTTTGGTTTGAATTTTTTTTTTTTGTCTGAATTTTTTTTTTTTTTAAAGTATGTAATCTTTTTCTTGGGAAGGGGGGGCCCTTTATGTATTCTTGCACCGGGGCCCTGAGGTCACTAGTTACGCCTCTGCAACTGACCTTGTACTTTAAATAATCAAGACATTATTACATATTTTGCAAACATTTACAGCTCTTATTTAACTATATACTTTTTCACCCATTTTAAGTTACAATTTTTAAATTATTTTCTTTACAGATTCCATCAGAGGAATTATATTAGCACAATTAAAAAAGCACAGAGTACGGAGAAAATCTTTAAAAAAAACATACCCATACATTAGGAATTTCCTCACAATATTTCTGGCATACTTTGACTTGCTCAAGTCCACTACGTGCTCTGTGAGACAAATTAGATTTTATTAACACATTTTCATTGTATTAAAAAAAACAAGCCTAAGAATCAAACTTGCTTAGTAAAATAACAGTAACAGTTGGCCAAAATTTACAGCACTTTAGTTTTAGGATTAAGTGCAGAATTACTGTAAACTGGAAGTTCATTCAGAAGCAAAGACTGGTTCCACGGATTCTGTGCTGTGTGATAGGTTAGAGCACTATAAATGGGCCTTAAATAAAAATTAAGCATTTGTGCCTACATAAGTAGCTTAATTTATAGCCACAGAACACATTGGAATTAAAGCTTACATTTTCACACTGAATTTAGGTAATTAAAAAGGGCATGTCAGGGCAAAATATATTAACAAAATCCCACACTCAGTAGAATGCCTCCAATAGAAGCACATTTCCCATGTTTCATTCTATTAACCCCTTCATGACTGAGGCCCTTTTTTCAATTTTTGCACCCATGTTAAAAATGCTGCAAGTACAGGTTAATTCCTGTTTGGACCGAAAACACAGTGCCTTTGCTTTACTGAAATACCAACCAGTGTTGACAGTCCTGCCATCTACCGTATTTTGCGGTCCATATGTTTATTCTCCCCATAGCTCCCTGGCCAACTCCCCATGTATCAATTATTTTCCCAGCAACACAATGCTGTCGCTTTGAGTCTAAAAAATCTGACTGTATAGGGAAAGGGCTGGGAGATTGTTCGTAGTTCTGAGGGGATTGTCTACGTTATTAGGACTGCCTAGTAAAAATGTCACAGGGAATAATAAAAGGTGGTTTCTTGCTATAGAAACAAAGAAACAATACTGCTCGGCCATGCTTCGGGGGGGAGGAGTTTTGGGGTAAATAGGGGTAATGCCTGGACATACATTTTAGCACAGTATAGCGACTGATGCGTAACATGTATAAGGAAAATAGGAGCAGAATACCTTTAAGCTCATCAAAAACATCTTGCCTTCTTTTTTCATTAGCATGTTTTATGTAACACTGGATGACCCTGGTTGTATCATGGGCAAATGCAACCTGTAAAACAAAAGACATAAAACAAATCAACCAGGACAAGTACTTTAAACAGTAAAAATTCAAATAGAGATTGTCATATAACTATATTAACAGTCTTGCTATGAAGGACCATATAAAGTACAGGAGTGTGGTATTCCAATCGCACAACGCCCGGGACATGCAGTTCGGGCGCCAGACAGGTGTTTATTTATTTTTTCTACATTTAGCCCTGCTGCAGGCAAGGAGGGCTAAATTTAGAGCAGGGGAGCCACCTCTTGTTTTGCACAACTAATCTAGGGGGCTGTATAGCCACCCAGATCACCTGTAGCTGCCTCCCCTCTGTGGTTTTCGGGCTCCCTGCTCTTCTGGGCGTCAGGAACACAGCAATAAAATTAAGTGAAAAAATAAAATGAAAATTTTTTTAAATAAAAGGTTCAAATAATTTTTTTTTAAAAAACAACCCTGCCACTCCACCATCTGCATGGATTCCCAAGTTATTTTGGAAAATGCAATTACCGCTAAAGTCTGGCCCCCTTCCCCCCGCTATACTTACCTTTTCGGCGAATGGTCTTTTCCCTCCGCCGGTAAGGGGGGACTATTTGTAGCTCATGCTGCCATCCCACGCAGCCCTGCAATATGGATTTTAAATTTAGCTCACAAATTGCGTGCACCCGTTGATCAGCACGGTCAGGTGATATAATTGAAAAGTGCTTCTTAGCACGGTTAAATATGGTTTTGGTTAAAAAAAAAAAAAAATTGTATCACGACAAGTAGATTGGGCCCCCGCTTTAGTCCTTGGACAAGTAGGTTTTTTTACATAAAAGGAAAATTTTGGCCAAAGGCCTTGGCACATGGTCTCTTTGAAAGATAAACAGATCCTCCCCTACTACACATATCTTCCCATATTATTTGCTAATCCCAACAAAACTATAAGGGGCTCTGCTGGTGAGCTTTACCCTCACTTACTGCCCTGTTGACAAAGTTTTACAGGAAGATAGATTGCAAGCCCTCACGGGCAGGGCCCCCCTTACCATCTTGTCTTGAATTGTATTGTAATGCGCGGCTCAAACAAACTGTTGGCGCTATAAAAATCCTGTATAATAATAATGATGATGATGATGATGATGATGATTGATGATGATGATGATGATGATAGGACAGCTTTGCTTTGGATCCTGCTGAGAGATTTAATGGTTCATTGGTGTCAACTTTTTTTTTTTTTTTTTTAGATTGACACACTTTAAATCCTTTTTTGACAAAGTTTATTTTGGCCTTTAGTGACCACAATGACTCCTCTCTAAAGATTTTAAGAACTAATATTTTCCTTCACAGCTACAAAGTGTAACACTTGTCTCTTTGCCCCATGCTAGAAAAGGACAAAGGGAAAAAAGGTTTGCATCAAGGATACAGAAATTATAAAGAAAAAAAAAATTAAAACTATAAGAATTATATGGGTATGTTGAAGAGTATTGTAGGAGTTGAATATAAAAAAAAAACATGAAAAAGAAATCTGAAGTTTACATGTAACAAGTTTACATGCCATACTTTATTAATGATATATGGCAAACAAGTCATATTTAAATGTAATATATATTTGACCTTTTATACAATCAAATAAACTGACTTATGTGTCCCAAGACCATAACAGCTCACATTGATTAGCAGTTAAATGAAAGCTATTAAGGCTCAAATATGTTTAGCGTAAACCTGATATTATGTGGTTCAACTCTGGCAGCAGGATCATTTAGTCATATCCACTCACACTTTTAACGTTCCCCCGAAGGAGCTTCTCAAGCTCGTCCATTAACTTGACTCTCTTTGTGACATCACAGTCCTTTCTAGATATAGAGACGCAAGATATTTAGATGGTTTCTACTATTTTATAATGAAAAGGTGCAGACAGTATTACATATTTAAAACACATATATATAAAACAGTCCTTAAACAAATAACAGTTTAGAAGAACCAAAATAACCGTGTTGAATATTCGCTTTAAAAGCAGTGTTTCTCAACCTGTGTTACCTCTGGACCCACATTTGTCCTCGGTCATTGAGTTGTGACCCAAGTTGCTCTGCAATGGAAGGCACGGCATTGCGGTACCGCGCATTCCGGTGCAGACGACTGAACTGTGGGCGGAGGTGCGTTTGGGGTGCCATTCAAATAAATGAGCGATTGCATGATACAGTACGGTAATCGCACACGACCGATTAACGCACTGTACTAGTGTGAACAGGCTCTAAAAAAACACTGACAGACACACATTGTCCAACACTCATATACATTCCCAAAAAAATTTAAATTATTTTTTAAGATCCACCTATTCTCCCTACCTTAAGAGAACTGGAGTAGATCCTCAGCCTGGGGTCCAGTGTGAGCTCCTGTGTTGTGACAAAGCTCCATTCATGTGTGCATTGCTTGTACAACCCACTTGCGCACCCTGTACAGATGCCAGGAGCCAGAATGTGATGTCACTTCGTTCCAGGCACCTCTACAGGACATGCAAGGAAGCTGTAAGCAATGCATGTATGGATGGAGCTCCCTCATAGCCATAGCTCGAGCGCACCCCACCTTAAGCTGACACTGGGTGCCGAGCAGCATATGAATGGCTGCTTGGCGTGATAACTGATAGTGCTGCGCTAGGAGGAGGCTGGGAAGCCTCTCACCTAGAAAAGTGGAAGGCACACTGAACACGGGGTCGTGACCCACTGAACATGTGCCATTAAAAATGGATCATTGATTTACTACTACGGTGTGCTGGTGACATTATTTTCTTCTTCCACTGAACATGGGGTTGCGACCCGCTTTTGGGTCACGACCCACAACTTGAGAACCAAAGCTCTAAAGAACACTCCAAGCAAATGTAAGGGTGATTGCAGCTGCATTAGTGCACTTGCAAGAACACAGTTGAGTTTGGTCCGTGATAGTATACAGTACATAACATTTTTTTTTTTTAAAGTAACAGTTAAATTACTAGGGCAAGAGTTTGGGGTGTAGGGCTGCAACAACTAATTGACTAAATCGATTATAATCGATTATTGAAAAAGTTGTCAACATTTTCAATCAATTAATCGGCTTCTGATTAGTTGGCCACACCTCCTCCCCACCACAAGCTCGCCGCTCCCAGACCCGCCCGCATCCACACGCCGCACCTCCTCCCCGCCCACCTGCATCCACACCTCCTCCCCGCCCACACCCACGATCGACACAGGGACGCGGAGAGAAGTAGTAAGGAGGAGCAGGTGTGTGTGGGTGTGGGGGGGCGGGGGAATGACAGCCGCCGATAGACAGGCCAGATCTCAGAAGCAAGTTGTTGGAAGACTGCTCAGGTAAGCCTGCACTTTCCCACACATGGTGCTCTATAATGTATTGCTGGGATAGTGGGATTTGTATTCCTCTATAGCTGATGGTACATTGTGCTGTGTATTATACAGCGCAATATACCATCAGCTATGGAGGGATGCAAATCCCAGCAATACATTGTAGACTGTATGTATGATGTATTGCTGGGATGTGTTGTATTCCTCTATAGCTGGTGGTATTCTGCATTGCGCTGTATAAAGGACTACAAATCCCAGCAATAATACATTATACAGCGCAATGCAGAATACCACCAAGCTATAGAGTACAACAAATCCCAGCAATAATACATTATACAGTGGCGCAATGCCGAATACCACTAGCTATAGAGGACTACAAAACTCAGCAATAGTACATTATACAGCGCAATGCAGAATACCAGCAGCTATAATGTACTATTGCTGGGATTTGTTGTATTCCTATATAGCTGGTGATATTCTGCACTGCGCTGTATAATGTACTGTTTCTAGGTTTTGTAGTCCTCTATAGCCGGTGCCATTTTGCATTAATTGCTGTATAGTTTTACACTTTCCATTTCACTATATTGCACGCCACACTTTTTTTTTCTTCTTTTTTACTTCCACCGCTCTAACCCTGCTCCTGTTATGGACTACAATCTCAATACAAACTAGTAATCCCATCACTGGAGCCATTTTTAAAAATGTTTTATCCGATTAATCGAACTTAATAAATCGGCTAACTAATCAATTTTGAAAATAATCGTTAGCTGCAGCTCTATTGGGGGTGTACCCCCTTCTTCTAAGGTCCAAGCAGTACTAACACACAAAAGTTTAGCGAAATGTTAAAAAAACTCCTGGGAGTGGGCAAAGTCTACTGAATAGAGCCACATTTTTTGGAATTTATCTTCCCGATTCCTGACTGAGGAGGCAAAAGCCACGATGGTTTAGAGTTCTTGAACTTTCGTGCCTTGAAGGTGGGAGCAGTTTTGCTTCCAAGGAGATGCACACTCAAGTCGTGTTGTAGGTTAACCCCTTCGTGACGGGAGACGTACACTGTACGTCCAGCCACAAAGGGACCAAATGACTTGTCACGTACACTGTACGTGACGAGTTATTTGCTGCTTTAGAGGGCTGTTAAACGGCTGAGAATCAGCTTTTAACATTCATTAATGGATGCCCTTACTACACAGGCATTCATTAATGAAAGGGTTAACCTTTTTCAGACACCCGATACCTTAATATCGGGTGTCTGAGAGTCAAAGCAGAGGGACACAGATGCCGGCTTTTGCCGGCATTCTGACAGCTCGTATAGATCGAGAGAGATACCTCTCTCAAGCTATACTGGCTTTTTTTTTTTTTTACTTTGTAAGAAAGTATATTACTGACGTGGAAGAATCACACAGCAAAAATGTCAAAAGTGTGTCAGTCATTTACGAACAGAAACTAAAAACAAGCTCAGTCATGAAGGGGTTAAAGTGTAGTCGGTAGACTGCTGGGTTGTTCCCTAAGTCAATGTCTGAGTCAGTGATTTGATGCCATCTCAAAAGGGCCTAAGCAGGGCCAAAGCAGAGGTGAGTCCTAGAATATATGAAATATAGTACCAGCCATCTGTTTGTATCTCTAGCACAAAGGGGAGGATTGTGGGTAGATCTTATGTAAAGTTGTAGGGGCTCAGTACCATCTAGACCATATTTGAAAGCCAGATTCCTGCAGTCTGTTTGCAAGAGGATTTGTGGAGAAGATAATCTTGTTGTTTGGCAGTAAAACAGGTCCCTAAGGTCTCTTTACCATTTCTGCAAATATGATGAGGAGTATTCAGCTAGTGGTTGGTTTAATAGCTGGTAGGACTTAGATAGGGCATGTCTTAAGGGCTAGAATCTAGGCATAAGTCCTTTATAGGGGTGGGGGAAGCTGCCACCTTGTGTAGTTTGGGTAGAGAGAATAGAAGTGAGAATAAAAGTGTCAGATCTGAGTTGCCCTTCATAGTAAGAGGGGGGTGGAGGGTTAGTGTCGGACATAGCCTGAATTTCAGGAATTGTCTTCCAGACTTTGGCGGATGCATGGTGCTTCAATCTAAAATGTATTTGCTGTCACCAAAGGCCTAAAACATGCATCTAAAAGGTCAGGTGGGAAAGAAAGGTTGCCAATGACTGGGGTAAACATTGAGACAAGGTGTTTCATTGTCAATAAGCTCTTTTCTTGTGTTAGTACGTGAAGCATGGTACATATAGTTGGATAGTGTTTTAACTTAGTGAAAGAGTGCATCCAAGAGCCAAAGGCTGTGGACAGATTAGCAAGGTCATGTGTACAGCCGTAAAGTATGGGGTTGGGTAATCCTATGCCTCCCTATTTTTTTGTGTTTTGCCAGATAACAGCTGTGGACCCTCTGTTATTTTTGAGTCCACAGGAAATTTCAAAGTTCGCTATAGACCATTTTGAGGAATGAACTTGGGATTTTGATAGGTAGCGTTTGATATAGGTGGTATTTTTAGAATACCACCCCTCCCAAACCAGGAGGTTTATTTGCACCACCTTTTTAAAGGTCCTTTTTTTATGGTGGAGAGAAAGGAGTAAAAATTGAGTACAAAGACCTTGTCCATTGAAGAAGTAATGATTGTACTCAGGTACTTTATATGGGTTGACGCCCACGTCCGTGGGAAATTTTTCTTGATCACAGGTAAGATGTTTTCTGGGACGTTAACATTCAAGGCTTCCAATTTAGCAAGGCGGCCATATTCGTTCAAAGCACACAAGAAAGCAATTACTTTGGGTGTAAGCTAAACATAAGGTCATCTGCAAAGCCTGCCACTTTGTAAGTAGTAGAGGCTCCCTTCCTGTCAGCGACTGTTCTGATGTGGCTCAAAATGGGCCCAAAGGTGAATATACAAATTAGAGGGGACAGCCTTGCCTAATACAGTTACGCAGCTCAAAATACTCCAAGGAGGTTTCATTAAATTGAATAATTTTGCTGTGTATTCACTTCAGCAGCTAGTCAGTTTTAATTTGAATTTCAGCTTGTCAAGCATTTCAGGTAATTTTAGTGGATACAGAAGGACGTAATGGATATTTTAACATGAACATGGAGCTACTCCTTAAATGCCTTATACGATCACATTTAAATTTATATAAATTAACATGTCTGTACCTCCTAATTGATTCCCAAATGTGCTTGGATTTTGTCATGACATCATAGTTACTCTTGTCATTGAGCTGCCTGGTCTGCTTCAACTCCTTCCTCTTTTTTTTGACGTCTTCCCTTTTCGGCTTCTTTGCTTCAGAACCTGAAAGAAAAACAGTTTCAGCAAAGGTCAGTGGGAAGTTACAGCCCAGCTTCAAGTTAAATCAATAAAACAAATGCCATTTCCCTGATCACATTTGCATAATTTGCTACAATACTTACATTATGTCTGAAGCGGACAAGCCGCTCCAACCTGCACTACTGTTCCTCTTGTGGGGTGAATGATGGCCAATGTAATTTTCCCACTTCCTTTAAGCCCAGGCCATCATGGAGTCTGGGTTTGTGTCATCATGCAGCCTGAGCTCACAAGAGAATTCTGCAGAGAACAGCACTCATAGGGACTAAGGACTTTACACGCTGGAGTTGGGCTTCAAGTGTAGTACAAGCCAACATATAAAAATCTTTTGTCGCAAGTATTTTTTTGAATATCCTGAAATTAATAGTGTAGCTGCATGAAATGTGTCCTCATATTGAGTTGCCACAAGTCAGTTAAAAGCTGAAATCAGGCTTGCAATTATAGTGACTGCTGTTTAATTTGATGGGTGTGAGAGGGAGGCTTAGTGTGGGTACAAGGAAGGAGACCACTTAAAGTGAGAATCGCCGTTGTGGGAATATTTTAATCCACAAAGCACTTACTTCACGCAGTACACAGCCTGCAACACTGCACTATCAAAAACGTTTGTTACCTCAATTACCCAGTTTTGTTCAGCAGACGTTCATGGATTACAGTATTTGCATTAGTTTACAAAACACAGCTAACAAGAGGTCTAAAAATGTGTGTTTCAACTGTGCATTCAGCTGTTCAGCTGGCCACAGTGATCCTGTAAGGTGACTTTCATGGGAGAAAAAAAAAAAAAGTATCTAATATTTTAGAGCGAAACATTAAAGTGTATCTAAACCTATAGAGTTTATACATTGCAGTTTACCAATGCTTATATGTGATGGCTGCATACAACACACTTCCTGTCCTTTTGGTGTCTACACTCATTTCTCCACTGTATATATTGCAGATATATACA